GTCATATCTCCGCGGGGAGTTATGTCGTTTTGGAACGTCATATCTCCGCGGGAAGTTATGTCGTTTTGGAACGTCATATCTCCGCGGGGTGTTATGTCGTTTTGAAACGTCATATTTCCGCGGGAAGTTATGTCGTTTTGGAACGTCATATCTCCGCGGGGTGTTATGTCGTTTTGAAACGTCATACCTCCGCGCGGAGCTATTACCCGAGATATTAAAAAAGTATCGATTTTCGCACCGACCTCGATGTTCAAAAGAAGTGACTTGCAATTTTGACAATTTGGGTCAAAATTTTGGATTTCCTTGTTTTTGATGCCAATCGATAGAACTGATCCTTACGAGTCAAAAATTGTATAAAATTCCATAATCGGACACTATTTTCGGCGGAGTTATGTCGTTTTGGAGCGTCATATCTCCGCGGGAAGTTATGTCGTTTTGGAACGTCATATCTCCGCGGGGTGTTATGTCGTCTTGAAACGTCATACCTCCGCGGGAAGTTATGTCGTTCTGGAACGTCATATCTCCGCGGGAAGTTATGTCATTTTGGAACGTCATATCTCCGCGGGGTGTTATGTCGTTTTGAAACATCATACCTCCGCGGGGAGCTATGTCGTTTTGGACCGTCATATCTCCGCGGGAAGTTATGTCGTTTTGGAACGTCATATCCCCGCGGGGTGTTATGTCGTTTTGAAACGTCATATCTCCGCGGGAAGTTATGTCGTTTTGGAACGTCATACCTCCGCGGGGTGTTATGTCGTTTTGAAACGTCATACCTCCGCGGGGAGTTATGTCGTTTTGGAACGTCATATCTCCGCGGGAAGTTATGTCGTTTTGGAACGTCATATCTCCGCGGGAAGTTATGTCGTTTTGGAACGTCATATGTCCGCGAGGAGTTATGTCGTTTTGGAACGTCATATCTCCGCGGGAATTTATGTCGTTTTGGAACGTCATATCTCCGCGGGGTGTTATGTCGTTTTGAAACGTCATACCTCCGCGCGGAGCTATTACCCGAGATATTAAAAAAAGTATCGATTTTCGCACCGACCTCGATGTTCAAAAAGAAGTGATTTGCAATTTTGACAATTTGGGTCAAAATTTTGGATTTCCTTGTTTTTGATGCCAATCGATAGAACTGATCCTTACGAGTCAAAAATTGTATAAAATTCCATAATCGGACACTATTTTCGGCGGAGTTATGTCGTTTTGGAACGTCATATCTCCGCGGGAAGCTATGTCGTTTTGGAACGTCATATCTCCGCGGGAAGTTATGTCGTTTTGGAACGTCATATCTCCGCGGGGTGTTATGTCGTTTTGAAACGTCATATCTCCGCGGGGAGTTATGTCGTTTTGGAACATCATATCTCCGCGGGGTGTTTAGTCGTTTTGGAACGTAATATCTCCGCTGGGAGTTATGTTGTTTTGGAACGTCATATCTCCGCGGGAAGTTATGTCGTTTTGGAACGTCATATCTCCGCGGGGAGTTATGTCGTTTTGAACCGTCATATCTCCACGGGAAGTTATTTCGTTTTGGAACGTCATATCTCCGGGGGGTGTTATGTCGTATTACCCGAGATATTAAAAAAAGTATCGATTTTCGCACCGACCTCGATGTTCAAAAAGAAGTGATTTGCCATTTTGACGATTTCGGTCAAAATTTTGGATTTCCTTGTTTTTGATGCCAATCGATAGAACTGATCCTTACGAGTCAAAAATTGTATAAAATTCCAAAATCGGACACTATTTTCGGCGGAGTTATGTCTTTTTGGAACGTCATATCTCCGCGGGGAGTTATGTCGTTTTGGAACGTCATATCTCCGCGGGAAGTTATGTCGTTTGGGAACGTCATACCTCCGCGCGGAGCTATTACCCGAGATATTAAAAAAGTTTCGATTTTCGCACCGACCTCTATTTAAAAAAAAAAAAAAAGTGATGTAACCCCTTCCCATTTTGGCGATTTGGGTTTAAATTTTGGATTTCCTTGTTTTTGATGCCAATCTATAGAACTGATCTTTACGAGTCAAAATTTGTATACAATTCCAAAATCGGACACTATTTTCGGCGGAGTTATGTCGTTTTGGAACGTCATATCTCCGCGGGGAGCTATGTCGTTTTGGAACGTCATATCTCCGCGGGGAGTTATGTCGTTTTGGAACGTCATATCTCCGCGGGGAGTTATGTCGTTTTGGAACGTCATATCTCCGCGGAAAGATATGTCGTTTTGGAACGTCATATCTCCGCGGGAAGTTATGTAGTTTTGGAACGTCATATCTCCGCGGGAAGTTATGTCGTTTTGGAACGTCATATCTCCGCGCGGAGCTATTACCCGAGATATTAAAAAAAAGTATCGATTTTCGCACCGACCTCGATGTTGAAAAAAAAGTGATTTGCCATTTTGACGATTTGGGTCAACATTTTGGATTTCCTTGTTTTTGATGCCAATCGATAGAACTGATCCTTACGAGTCAAAAATTCTATAAAATTCCAAAATCGGACACTATTTTCGGCGGAGTTATGTCGTTTTGGAACGTCATATCTCCGCGGAAAGTTATGTCGTTTTGGAACGTCATATCTCCGCGGGGAGTTATGTCGTTTTGGAACGTCATATCTCCGCGGGGAGTTATGTCGTTTTGGAACGTCATATCTCCGCGGAAAGATATGTCGTTTTGGAACGTCATATCTCCGCGGGGTGTTATGTCGTTTTGAAACGGCATATCTCCGCGCGGAGCTATTACACGAGATATTATAAAAAGTTTCGATTTTCGCACCGACCTCGATGTTGAAAAAAAAGTGAAACTCTCCGAGGGGAGTTATGTCGTTTTAATACGTCATTTCTCCCCTGCTGCTCTATTCAATTGCGCAGTTGCATATAGCTTTGGTTTTTTTTAACCGATCTTTATGAAATTTTCTACAGTATATCTTACTGTATCATAGAATTTTTGTGTATACTGAAAAAGTCAATTGCATTTAAATTTTGGCTTAAATTGGTTGGCAATAAAAGTTGGGTTATTAACTTGATTTATAGCTCTGGGGTGGTAGCGGAGAGGTGGCGATAGGTATAAAATGAAAGATACTTGACAACATATCATGTTTCGTGACTCTAGCTCTTATTATTTAGCAAAATTGCCCAAAAGACATGATATCGATATCGATTTCTATCGATTCCTTGGAAACGGAGTATTTACCCGATTTACCAAAATTGCCCAAAAAACAGGATGTCGATATCGATTATTTTTGATTGCTTGGAAACGGAGTAAGCTATCGATTATCGGAAACAAATTCGATCTGCGCAGGCACTAGAAGTCAAGTCTATAGCTCTTATATGTTCTGATTCTATTATAATGAAAATATAATATAAAAATCCTATTCTATATAAATCCTATTCTATTTAAATGAACGTTTTGCCATCCAAAAGCTATTCTTTATACCAAATATGTATCTTGCCCTCAAGTTACATGTATAAATACACATCACCTTACCATTTCCGGCAAAAAAAAACGTATATCCAGAATATATGCCCAACATGAATTTTTGGGCTAAATAAATTGGTTATGCGACTCTCTGCACTCCGTTTGCATTTCTCTGCAACTTGAAGACTAGAACAATTAAAATGTATATGCAATGTAAAACATGTTAAGCAAAAACAAAAATTAAAATAAGTTAATAATAAAAAGCGTTTAACGTAAAAAAGATTTTGCAAAAGGAGGCTTAAACGAAATAAAATAAAACAATCCAAATTGGAAAACCAAAAATCTGATATTGACTGCTGGAGGTCTGCATGCAATATGAAGCACAATTTGGGAGCAAGCTCAGCACCTAGCCTCTTAAAGGGTTGCCCACTGTTGGAAATCAGTGTTGACAATGTTGAGTGGACATTGTGTGGTGTGCGTTGCGCAACACTGGAAACTTACTGATTAGCTCGCATTATGAACACGCATTCAAGTCATAAAGTTGCGTTTGCAAAGTTGGCGTTGCCAGCAGGTCACGAACGAGTCTAAAGGCCCTGAGGTAGGAGATGTGGAGTACGGGTAACAGGTAATGGTAATTGAAACAAAAGTTGAAGCCAAGAAAGTGTAGCATACGTTGCGGCGCCTTAAAAACCCATTTCCAACTGTTGACACGTGCCGCGTCGTGTCGCGACCTGTTACCCCAAGCCCTCACCTCTGCCCTCGGCCTAACCCTCACCATCACGCTGGCCCTCACTCCCCCCACAGGCGCCTGTCCACGGCTCTTGCTGTGAACGAAAATCACGCGGCCGCATGCGAAGTAAACAAACGTGAAATGAAAGTCATGCGTCGCATTTTAAAACGCGCCGCTGGATGTCTCCCAGGACGTGGTCCCTGTGGGCACGACAAGCCGCCGCACAGTCCGCGCAGCCCGCGACGGCATGCGACGGCCCATGCTAGCTCCACAATCCGCACGTTAAGAGATGCGCATAATTTAAAATACAAATTTGCCACCCGCCCAGAGGAGTCGCAGATGAGCATAGAGCTCAGCTTGGGCGCTGGCAGCGCAATGCATTTGTAAATATGCCTCATTATTGTGCAAGCTCCACACACACACACACACACACAGTCAGCGGCTCCCTGCCCGTTGTTCCCACCCAACATTCGTCACGTCGCATGTTTTGGGTCTCGTGCAGCGCCAGCGGAAATGGCAACAAAGTACAAAACAATTTAATAAATGCCGGAATCACGTGAAGGTGTTAAGCAAAACATTTGCGGCAATGACCACAGTGAAACCGACACGAATCACTGTCAAATTGAAAAACAAATACACACACACGCAATAACTAATGTAAATTATCGCAACTATTAACTGAGAGCTCAACTGTACCCCAAGTCCATTTGCACAAAAAATCTGCCCGCAGCCGAAACAATCTTTCGTCGCTTGGCCTAGAAAGCTGCACAGATAAGTCTTACTTCACCTGGGGCTATATTCTAAGCTCTATGATTTATGCCTTTGGAATTCGAAAAGTACGATAATTATTTATCACAAAGAAGTTAGGTGAGCTGGCTAGTAATACAAAACCCTTTATTATTTATTGCTTCATATAGGTATCCTATTCATCCTCGACTGGCGCTGTTTTATTGAGCCTACACACCTCCTGTTGCTTTTTCAAGGTCTCACACATTCTTATTGGGGCTGGCAACAGTTGCATAATCTTCACAGTAACTTCACATTGAATTTCATTAGCCGCCAGCTCAATCTTAATAAGATCGTATTTCTCTACTAAGTTCTCCAGACGAGGCAGAAATACGTACTTCAACATATGCTTGTAAATGTGTCATTTTTATTTGCATTTTTAAAATGGCGTTGACTCACCCTTCTTACCATTTCGTACGGCTTTCGAGTACAGTTAGTGACAGTTTGTGATGCGTGCCGAACGAGTTGTAAATACTGGCGAAATAATGTGCCATTGATATATTGACATTCCGTGTCCATGAACAGATGAAAGCTTTTGCAATGTTGGGTAAGTACAATAATTGGCACGTGCTGCCAAGATTTCGATGAGAGTGCTCTATTTAAAGAACATTTAATTTTGCCAGTGTTGAAAAATTCATTAGACGACTGTCACGAACTGTGTGTAAGCAAAAAGAATTGAGTTTGGCGCTTTGAAGGCATGATTAAAGAAGAATATTCTACATATTGTTCCAATAAAGGATCTTCATGTGCTCTTCTGCACGGAATGCTATCACGCATTACCGCCGGCATGTGCATGTGCGATATGTGCAAAAAAAAAACAATCCGGATTAACGCCAATATTTAAAGAAGTACGTATATGACTCGGAGCGCACCAAGAACTGTGATCCCATTAGGAAGCGTTTGCATAAAATATCCCAGAAATCCGAATTGCTTAGGATAAAGATGGCGGCTGTCGAGCGTAAATACTTCAACAAACCGACTTGAATATGTGTCTTACTTTTTTGGAATTAATGAAGCTTTCTTATAGAGCTGATCTATTTCTTAAGGTTGGTTGAGAATAGTACATTCATGATTATTAAACGATTATCTCGGATTTCACCTGTAAACACTCGTTTACTTTTGAATCATTTATAAAAACCAGCACAGTCCATTTTATGGTTTTTTTTGGCACCAGCCTAATTTATTATATTATCCCATTTATTCGCTTTAATGACTGTCAATATGGCGACATTTGGCGTCGGCGCCGGCGTCGACGTCGGCATCGAAGTTGCAGCTGTCGCTGTTAATAATGAACAACTGCAACGAGTTGGCGTATTAAATGCGGCGCTGACCTCAACAACAACAACAATGGACAACAGCAAAGCTGGCATCGGCAATTGCTGCTGATCCTGCGCCCGTTTCACGCCCAGTCACAATCCCAATCCCGATCCCAATCCCAATCCCATTGCCATTTCCTACCCTCCAGTTCATAGCGCCGCCCAGCATGTGCGCCCTTTTAGCATGGGAGGCATGACGAGGGACGCGGGACACTGGGAACAGGACGTTCGATGCTTGTGCATTTCATTTGTTGTAGTTGTTTTCTTTGTATACCCTGGACACATCGTATTCGGAGGACGGGGTATTTGGAAGTTGTTAGCAACAGGAATAATTGGCTGATCTTGTATTAATCACAAATTTGAACTCAATATTTAAGTGAAATTCGAAACCTTTCTCATTCGTTTTTATTGGCATTCGAGATGCCTTTAACCATTTTTGTGAAAAACATTTTCAGAGAATAGCTTCATTTCGAGATATAATATTGTCATTCAATCGACGGAAAAGTAAATCATCAAAAATCCTACACAACAATCACTTGTATAAGTTAACTAAAAAGTAGATATAAAAACAATTTTGAATGCTGTATCCATTTGCGTTAGAGGACATCATTTAGTCGAAAACATTTTATTGTAGTTTTAAAATGATTTTTATTTTTTTCTTATTAACTGCTTCATGCTTCTCCTATGGCCAGTGATTCGGTTTCGGATTCGCATATTCGCATTCGGTCAGCGGCGCTGACATCAATTTGTAATTTCAATTAAAAATTTAAAGTGCAAGAGAAGCATTTCATTCAATTCCATTGCTGCTGCCATTTAACATTCGACCAAAGCATTCACCTGAATACGAGTGCCTATGTGTTCCAAACATCCACTGTAGCCACTCGTCGCCCCCACTGCATGGACCTATTCATCGCCCAATTCGCCTTACTTGTTGCCGCTGCTTTTTGGTTTCAATTTGCTGCTTCTCTTCGTTGCCATCACTCGTTCTACCTCCTCGCTGTAACCACTCACTGTACCAACTCTTTAAATTAACTTGTTGTACCCACTCGCTGCCCGTTCTAGCTGTATTTGGTCGTTGAATCTATTCTTTGTAGCCACTCGTTGCCCCTTCTCGTTTACCTAGTCGTTCCAACTCGCTGTATACATATGTTGTCTCCTCTCGCTTTACCTACTCGTTGCATCCACTCACTGTACCTACTCGCTGTAACTACTCGTCGTCCCCGCACGTTCTTTCTGTTCCTTTTAGCTTGTGTGCGGGCATAATTTGATATAGCGTATGCTGCAAATGGCTGCTCCAGGCACTTAACTTGATTTCTTTCTACAAATGGCTTTGTTCCACAAGCACAAAAACTAGAAGAAGAAATTGAAGGAAAGAGGAGAAGAGACTGAGGGCGAGACAATTAAATCAAATAAAGCAGCCTTCGCTTTAAAAGAAAGCAAATCTTTGCTTTAACATTTCTCACCTGCTCTCAATGTGGGATGGCTCAGCTAAGCAGAGACTCTAGAAAGCAACATGTGTTCTTGAATAAAAGTAATGGTTAGTGTTGGATAAGGCTTCGGTATACACAGTAGTTCTTTTAATAAGTATGTAAAATATATTCGTTTTTGATAATATACGCCCCAGATTTGATGGCGAGTGTAAAGCTAAAACTCAAAAAAAAAGTCCCAATAAAGATAATTAAGAAGTTCAAACCTTAAATCTACAAATAATATTGTAAAATCGATAAATATCGCTAGCCAAATGGAATTTTTATACCCTGAACCCAATCAAAATGGGTATAAGGGTATATTGTATTTGTGCAAAATCCAAATGTATGTAACAGGCAGAAGGAAGCACCTTTGACGCCATAAAGTATGTATATTCTTGATCAGTATCAATAGCCGAGTCGATCTAGCCATGTCCGTCTGTCGGTCCGTCCGTCCGAATGTATGAACGCAAGGATCTCAGAACATATAAGAGCTATAGACTTGAAATTTTAGATGTAGGTGTTCCTAGTGCCTGCGCAAATCGAGTAAAAATCGATATCGATATCCTGTTTTTTGGGCAATTTTGCTAAATAATAAGAGCTAAAGTCACGAAACATGATATGTTGCTTCTAAAATATTAATTATTTGTCAAGTATCTTTCATTTTATACCTATCGCTACCTCTCCGCTACCACCCCAGAGCTAAAAATCAAGTTAATAACCCAACTTTTATTGCCAACCAATTTAATCCAAAATTTAAATGCAATTGACTTTTCCAGTATACACAAAAATTCTATTATACAATAAGATATACTGTAGAAAATTTCATAAAGATCGGTTAAAAAAACCAGAGCTATCTCGGGTAATAGCTCCGCGCGGAGGTATGACGTTTCAAAACGACATAACTCCCCGCGGAGATATGACGTTCCAAAATGACATAACTTCCCGCGGAGATATGACGTTCCAAAACGACATAACTCCCCGCGGAGATATGACGTTCCAAAACGACATAACTTCCCGCGGAGATATGACGTTCCAAAACAACATAGCTCCACGCAGAGATATGACGTTCCAAAACGACATAGCTCCACGCGGAGATATGACGTTCCAAAACGACATAACTCCCCGCGGAGATATGACGTTCCAAAACGACATAACTCCGCCGAAAATAGTGTCCGATTTTGGAATTTTATACAATTTTTGACTCGTAAAGATCAGTTCTATCGATTGGCATCAAAAACAAGGAAATCCAAAATTTTGACCCAAATCGCCAAAATGGAAAGGGGTTACATCAGGTTTATTTTTTTTTTAAATAGAGGTCGGTGCGAAAATCGAAACTTTTTTAATATCTCGGGTATAAGCTCCGCGCGGAGGTATGACGTTCCAAAACGACATAACTCCCCGCGGAGATATGACGTTCCAAAACGACATAACTTCCCGCGCAGATATGACGTTCCAAAATGACATAACTTCCCGCGGAGATATGACGTTACAAAACGACATAACTCCCCGCGGAGATATGACGTTCCAAAACGACATAGCTTCCCGCGGAGATATGACGTTCCAAAACGACATAACTCCCCGCGGAGATATGACGTTTCAAAACGAAATAACTCCTCGCGGAGATATGACGTTCCAAAACGACATAACTTCCCGCGGAGATATGACGTTCCAAAACGACATAACTTCCCGCGGAGATATGACGTTCCGAAACGACATAACTTCCCGCGCAGATATGACGTTCCAAAATGACATAACTTCCCGCGGAGATATGACGTTTCAAAACGACATAACTCCCCGCGGAGATATGACGTTCCAAAATGACATAACTTCCCGCGGAGATATGACGTTCCAAAACGACATAACTCCCCGCGGAGATATGACGTTCCAAAACGACATAACTTCCCGCGCAGATATGACGTTCCAAAATGACATAACTTCCCGCGGAGATATGACGTTACAAAACGACATAACTCCCCGCGGAGATATGACGTTCCAAAACGACATAGCTTCCCGCGGAGATATGACGTTCCAAAACGACATAACTCCCCGCGGAGATATGACGTTCCAAAACGAAATAACTCCTCGCGGAGATATGACGTTCCAAAACGACATAACTTCCCGCGGAGATATGACGTTCCAAAACGACATAACTTCCCGCGGAGATATGACGTTCCGAAACGACATAACTTCCCGCGGAGATATGACGTTCCAAAACGACATAACTCCGCCGAAAATAGTGTCCGATTTTGGAATTTTATACAATTTTTGACTCATAAGGATCAGTTCTATCGATTGGCATCAAAAACAGGGAAATCCAAAATTTTGACCCAAATCGACAAAATGGCAAGAGGTCGGTGCAAAAATCGAAACTTTCTCGATGATTATACCCTGAACCCATTTAAAATGGGTATAAGGGTATATTGTATTTGTGCAAAATCCAAATGTATGTAACAGGCAGAAGGAAGCATCTCCGACCCCATAAAGTATGTATATTCTTGATCAGCATCAATACCCGAGTCGATCTAGCCATGTCCGTCTGTTCGTCCGTCCGTCCGTATGTATGAACGCAAGGATCTCAGAACATATAAGAGCTATAGACTTGACTCCTAGTGCCTGCGTGGATCGAGTTTGTTTTAGATAGTCGATAACTTACTCCGTTTCGAAGCAATCGATAAATCGATATCGATATCTTGTTTTTTGGGCAATTTTGGTAAATAATAAGAGCTAGAGTCCCCAAACTTGTCATATAGCTTCTAAAATAGAATATATATATGCATTTGATGTTGGAAGAAGAGAGTTCAGGGTATATCCTAGTCGGGAGCTTCCGACTATAACCTCTTATTTGTTTTTCTTAAG